GGACTTATAGAAAGTACTGCCAAGCTTATTTCGAAGTAAGAGTATTCAACAAAATTTATAAAGTTAAAAAAATATTCGATTATGTCGAAGTCCATTACGCGTCAGGTAAGTGGTACTAAATATCAGTTCAAGAAATATATGCAATTTATTTCGCTCTTCACAACACTTACACATTTCCCATTTAGTTTCTTTTGAGTTTGCTGCTTCTCTGTGTCAATTGGCCGACTTTCACGCACGCCGCCTGCAATACCTGCTCTGCTGAAACTAATCTGGCTTGCGTCTCCAACAGCCAATTTAAGGTGTGCGACAATGGCTCACCAATTGCGAATGCGCTAGATTGCCCCACAGGATATGTTTGCTCCACAGCTACCACGAGCATTTGCCAGCCCAGTGGCGGCGTCGGTGTGGTAGCTGATTGTGCCGATTGTAACACCTGCGATGCTACCAATACGTTTGCCTGCACTGGCGTCGGCACATACGCCTTGTGTCTGGGCACAACGACAGTCAGTAACTTGACCGGCTCCTGTGAGCCAGATCACGTTTGCAGCACTGATTATGAATACATTTGTGGTAGTGCCACATTAGGGGTGAGCCAATGATAGTTAATACATATTTTGTTAATTATTAATATATCTATTTTATTACTGTTTAGGTTGTGGCCACGTGCCCCAGTGTTGATGAGACAGTAACAACAACCACTACTGCGCCCTCGACCAGTGTGACAAATCCGGCCGCGTACTGTCAATCGATGCAACAAAGTGGTCGCTTTCCGGCCGGCAATGGACAGACTACCAGCTGTAGACAGTTAGTACACTGCTCATACACTTATTTACTTACCATGCTGTGCATTTACATTTCAAAATAATACAAATCATTTTTAATTTTTTTTTCTAGGTATGTCTATTGCTTTATTAATAACGGCGTCTGGAGTGGAGTGCTGTACACCTGCCCTGGTGCCACATATTTTAACGAAAGTTCGCGTCTCTGCACAGCCGTCATACCAACACGTTGCGTCGGTACCACCCGGGTGTTGTCACTCAGCAATATGGATGTAGATTTCGATTAAAGTGGGTTCCAGCTAGATTGTCTTAGGTTTTCGAAAGTATGTATGTAGGTATGTAGTTACAAGTATGCAAATATTTCTAAGCAAAAAAGAAATAAAATAGAAAAATAATAAATAGATTTACGAAGTTGGATTTGTTAAATAAATAGGAATGTATGCAATTCATAAGTGTTATCAATTGCTGGCGATGTTTGGATTCTCCGCAGGGTACGATGTATTTCGGAACGGATTGCTTCTCCCTTGTCAAGTTTTGGTTTGAAGACAAACCGGTTTCGGTGTTGCGCCATCGTCATTCTCAAGCAACGGCAATTTTTTTTTATGCATCAAACTAGATAGACGCTTGAAGCAGCCATATGAAGTATACATACAGCATTCGCTTGAATAGCCACATTACCTTCCTTCAGGAATCGGGCTTATATCTCGCAGTAACTTAATTCTCATTCTCATTTTGAAGACAGTTCGATTCTCAATAAAAGTTCTAAAACCGTCGTTACTAGGTGTTTTTTTTAATACAAAGGGTATGCCTTAAAATTTGAAGGCCTTGAATGGGCGCAGTGAGGGAAGCATCCAACGGAACGCCTTAAAGAGCATTTAATTGACATTTTCAGTATCACAGAGCAAGAAAAAACCAAGCAGGCGCACTATAAACTACGCGAAAATACCAAGTCTACACGGAAATGGTAGAAGGTCCGTTGCGAGGTGATACCGAACCGAATTGATAGAAAAAAGTGGTGTTCTTGGCATCACAATGTTGGTAACGAATGTCTCGTGCTTAGAAAATTCCCAAAAAATAAATGCACAACGTTAAGAGCCATGACCGGATTTTGTGCGCCTGACTATAAAGCTTTCACAGCTTTCTTCAGGGAAAAGCTTTGCCATTAATGACTCCAATGCATTCAATGCTTTTATTTGCGAGTTTTTAAAGGATGAATGTTGTTTGATTTCACTTTATGATTGATAAAGTATTACGGCACTCTAAAGTGCAATTTCAAATGCTCCAAAAATTCAAGCGAAATGTTTGCACAACGCACCCCAGAAGGTGGAAAACGAAAATAACAAAGCAAAATCTTAATTTTTGCAGGAGTCAACTTATTTATTGGGAATAAAAACGGCGAGGTGCGAGATTGCCTTAAAAAACAGTATTCTGGATAGGGGTTTCCCCATTCGATTCATATTAAGGAGGTAGTACCTAATAGTTATAGTACTCAATATGTTATAGTATCTATACCTTTAAGTTGTTCAAAGAATCCTCTGATTTTTAGTTCTTATAATCTTTTCATATTAGGTTTGTTCCACAAGCTACTCGAAGTCACATCGAGGTACACATACGCGTTCCACAAGTAAGTTTTAGAGTTTATTTGATATACGCTGACAGTTTGAACTTTGCTCGAGTTTTTCGACAAGTAGCTTGTGGAACAAACCTATTGTATGTATAGTATATTCCTCAGATCGTTGTAAAAATTGAAGATATCACATCATTACTTGCAGTTTAAAGAAGAACAAAAAAAAAAAATACCACTTACTTAGTTTAAAAAACCAAATTATAAAGTGCAATTTTTGAAAACTGTATCCAATTTATGCTAAATTCTATTTATAGTCTGAATTCCTTAATTTACCTACTGCAAAGTTTTAGGGAGCAACCTTTACAAAAACTAAATTGTAAACAGTCTTTTGTTTCTTTTCTTTATCAAAAGGTAAATAGTTCACTTTTTTTTCAGAAATAAAAAGAAAATAGTAGTACAAAATATGGGACATAATAAGCTCACAAGATATACTAGTTTTATTTATTAATAACTGTATCTTAGCCAAACCTAGCCGAAATTTCCTAGGCTTATGTAAAGGTAAAATTTAAGACATACATCTTTACTTGCACGTAGCTTTAGTCTCCATACCAACTTATGACTTTTTACAAAAATAAAGTTACCTTTGTTATGTTTTACTATGGTATTATCTGAAATATAGCAACAAGAAAAAAGACATGTTAACACATGTAAAATGTTATTTTTGGCAAAAAAACGCATTTAGACCATAGTGTAATGGGTTATACATATGTATGTATGTATGTATTTCGCTTACAGTTGCTCATATGTGTACTCTATAAACGAGAACACTATATTTTCCTCCTTTACCGAAAAATAACTTCATTCCTTCATTGTAATAATTTAAATTTGCTGCGACTCAAAGAAGTACGAAACGTTCGAGTTTTCAGAACCGATGAATTTATAACATCTAACTGAGAATCATTCAACTTTAGGAATGTGGTGCATGAATTGGTCGGCGGTCGACTGGAATTAATCGGTTATAAGTACGCAATCTTTCTGCTAGAACATCAAGGAAGAAACTGTTGCAATATCGTGTATGTGATGAGCTTAAAAAAGACCTTCAAATATATTTATTTATTTATACATTTTTAGGATGTGTGTAAATATGTGTATTTTCAGGGAGAACAAAATGTGTTATAAGCAAATGTTGTGGTGACTTGTGACGTATGACCTGCGATAGTTCGTTGTTGTTATTATGCAAATTAAATAATATTTATTAGATATTAAATATTTGACTTTCATATAAAACAGTTAGTTTATAGACGTGGATTACGTTGCAACTGCATTAGATGCACCGATAAGAAAGCCGAGAGCTAGTAGCGGATAGTTTAAATCGAGGCAATAATTCTATTGCATTTTTAGTTGCAAATGAAGCTCAATGCTATTCGAACGCAAGAACTTGTATATGTACTTAGATAATAATAGCCGAGCAATCTGTAATACTAAAGGAAAAAGTTATAATAAAACTCTATTATGTCCGCATTTATTACGTGGCAGGTAAGCGCAAATTTTGGTTCCCACCTGCACCTGCTGCCTTACCTGTAGCCCATTAATACCTACATACGTTTGATCTAGTTTTTGTTGAGCGTGCTCCTACTCGCTGTCAATTGCCCGATTACGACTTTGGCGGTCTGTAATGTGTGTTCTACCACCAATAACCTGGCGTGTGTCTCCAATACTCAGTTCAAACAGTGCGACCTGCAAGGCATACCAAGTGGAGAGGCGACAAGTTGTCTGACAGGCTTTGTTTGTTCCACAGCAACCGCAGCCATTTGTCAGCCCAGTGATGGTATAGGTATCGTGCCTGCCTGTTCCGAATGTAACACCTGCGATGCTACAAATACGTTTGCCTGCACTGGCGTTCGCACCTACGCCTTGTGTCGGGGCACAACAACAGTTAGTGATTCGGGTGGCTCATGCAAGGAATACGAGGTTTGCAATCGTGGAAATGCGGCCATCTGCGCCAATGCCAGTGCGACGGTAAGTGCAATGAGATGTCGGGAGAGTTTTGAAATATTTTAAGGTAGAACTAAATATATTTTTTTTAATTTAAATACCTCATACAATTGCTTTTAAGAATTTTCAATGTTTCAGAATCAACCTTCTTGCCCCACTGTGGTGGAACCAACTACTCCAGTAACAAACTCGGTTGAATACTGCAAATCGGTTCAACAAAGAGGTCGCTTTCCGGTTGGCGATGATCTTACAACCACCTGTAGACAGTTAGTACATTGCTTTCATATTAACTCTGTTCTATAACACTGGGCGACAAAAACAAAAAAAAAAAAATTCGAAACACGCGGAGTAGTCAGTAAAGTCTTGATTTGAAAGCTTACAAATAATCTTCTGTGCAGAATGACTGCAAATAATTCAGAACAACTACGTTCTAAGGGCAATTTATTGCTAAATTACGAAACACAAAATCTTTAATTGAGAAACTTTGAGTTGTGTCGTTATTGCAGAGGACCATCCATATATTTACTTGCCTTAACAAATCGTCTTAATTCTTTTCAAGATACGTCGAATGCTCTTCAATTAACAGCGTCTGGAGTGGAATGATTTACTGGTGTCCTGGTCGCACATATTTTAATGAAACCTCACGACTCTGTACACCCAGTGTACCAACACGTTGCATCGGCACCGTTCGGACGTTATCGCTAAGGAGTCTTGTTTGAATTTTGATTGCAATGAAATCCAAATAGAAATGTAAAGTTTTCTAAAGTAAATTCTAAAAAAAAAAAATTTTTATGGATTTTTTGGGCCGTTAAAAACTTATCCTTAGGGAATGTGTGTACATCATTATGCTAAGAATCTGTGAGTGTGCATAATTAGCGCTCACTAATAGATTGCCTAAATATAATGCTAGCGTGGTATTTATTTATCGTTAAAATTAACGGCAGTGCTATTAACATCTTTGTCGGAATTGTTATCATAATCACTGTTATTTATTGGCTTCATCGTTACCGTAACACCTGCCGCATTCGCTCTTTTTATCGATGTTCACTTACGGCAGTGCTCTTTTCATTTCGCAACTGTATTCATGTTTAAGAACTTAGTTTATTTGCATATGTAATATTCAGAGACAGTAAGTTGGCTTGTAGATGGTACACACTCGATTTTCTATGCTATAGTAAGTGTTCGTCGTACACGAATATTCGATGCCGGTCAAAACACCATTAACGAGACGACAGTGAACGTATCTGCAAAAGATGCAACGTACATAAATATGTACGCATAAGTAATTATAAATATGTGATGCCTTTCTAAATACTACCCCACCACTTTACCTTTTACAGTATGGATCACTAGGCACCGTCGGATAGAGACCAGCAAAACTTTCTTGCGCACAAACTGCATTCGGCGTTAATGGATTATCTGTAGCTGGGCTCAAGGTTGTTGTAGTCGTAGTGCTTGTACTCGAACTTGTTGAAGTTGAAGAAGTCGTCGTAGTCGAAGAATCCACGACATCGCAGGTGACAGTGTACGAACTAGCGGTACTCACACAAACCACATCACTGGTTGCATCACAAACAAATCCGGTGGGACAATAGCCCACCTGACCGGTGGGATGTAGGCCGCCATAGCACATCTGGAAGGTAGTGCGACTCAGGCAGGCAAATAAAGCATTGCGTTGTGCTGTGCATTGCCCACAAAGCGATGTGGAGCCGCAACTCGGCGGACGTGTTGCACTCGCTTGCAGACAGATGGCGTCATATTCGGTGCATTCGAATCCTTCCTTGCAATGATACAGTGTGTCCATGTTAGGGGTACTTTCTACTGACCGGAGTAAGAATGATTTCAGACTATCTATGTATTAACTTGTTGTAGAAGTTTTTACTCACCGCCGAAGCAGAGATAGAAGGACGTTGAATTGATGCAGGCAACTTGATTTGTCTGGCAGACATTGCATTCAGCGGATGTTGCATCAAGGAAAACGCAAAAGCAGAAAGTGGCCTGAAATGGTATATACAATTTTCACTCTAAAACCAACAACTAACAAGTTGACACCTACTAAAATAATTTCGAAAAAATAAGAAATACTTATACGCCACCTTCCGACGGCAAATGTTTTTAGGTGGGAAGTACTATGTAGTATTTATTTTTACAGCTAAAAGTTATCTGGTGGGAGTTACTTCCTGGCATTCCAACCAAGACAAGCTTAGTACTGTTCAGGCGGAAGAAAAACGAAAAAAAAAATCCAGTGCTTAGAGAAATGTTTTTGACTGGAAACTGACGAGAAAGACTCGGAGAACATTTGGCCGAGCTTTGGTACGTTCGGCCTACTCTGGTTAGATGAGAGTCATTATCATATAGGTGTGAGCAAAAAGCACTATGAGTACAACGTCTGGAATTTCATATTCTGAGCGGTGCCGAGGTGTCCCTACAACGGGCTGCCGGGCATATGTAATTAACAGGGAAGGTGTCGGAGTAATTGCTAGTACTTTTAATAATTACAACTCAGTAAATTTTTCAAGAATTTGGTTTAAGATCGCTGCATCTCAGAATCATTGAATCATTTGCTGAGATTGAGCCAAATTCTGAGATAGAGCGCTTTTCAATTAAATTCTGAAATAGGGCGTTCTTGAGCCATTTCTTGAAATCTCCCACTCAGCCGTCGATATAGGGTCGAACACAGCATGAAAATAGTTTAGTTTCTAATATTTAGCGCATATATTTTTATAATTTTTTTTATTATATTTTTGGCAGGGTGTCAACACTTTTGGTAGATTTGAATAAAAAAAAGTTGGTTGAACAGATATTTTCGAAGTAGCCACACTGAACTCAATATTGAGCGTTATGCCACGTTACTAACTTAGTTACACATATCTATTTATGGTGTTTTCGTTGTTGAACGTACTTGTAGAACAAATAACAGCCATTTCCGGACGTCACATTGCGCCATTTTATTTCACAATCAGCAAAATTGGCTTATCAATTTTTTATTTCCTTTGATATATTTGAAACTTTACTAGAAAGAGTATTTATATTTTTTCTTTATTTAAATACTCATACTCGTATGTACAAACAAATAAGCGAATCAGTGCACCTTTCCGTTAGAGAAACCATTTAACAACTGTTGGCACTAAACTAAAAGTTTCTACTTTCTATGTTTAACCGTTATGCTAGACATATTTTTGTTTAGCTCTCTTCGTCTGTAGGCGTCTTTTTATACATACAAAATTCCTGCTAATTGGATTGTTTATTCTTTTAATTTCGCTCCTTAAAGTCTGAAGTTAAGTCTTCTAACTTATAGTTATTATGTACATACATATGTGTGTATGTATGTATGAATGCGTATCCCGCTAATATGCTACGTCATTGTAGTGAAATTCGTAACCAGTGAAATAAAACGTTTAAGTGACCTTACTTTATTGTACTACGAAAATTTTAAAATTTTTGCTGATTTGTCGATCTAGTTCGAACAATAAATGCTTTCGAGTTTAGAGTCCTTCCAACTTAGGTGTTTTAAAGATACCCGTTTACCATATAATATTTTTTTAATGAACAGTTCAACAGCGATTGTTTGATTTTGAACTGTTGCCCGAATCGCCAAAGCGATTATTTTTTGTTACAGAGACGAACTAGTTGAGCCGCGGAAGGAACTAGTTTAATGTTATTTACGCGGTGTGATTTCTACCTTTATGTCTTTATCTGGATACATACATATGTATGTACATTAGACTGCATCACTCCACACACAAAAAAATCGGTACTGTGTTTCCAGTGGAATTATAAAATCTATTATATTTTAAGATGCCCACCAAAATATTTCGGAAAAATATTAAGATTTACGGGAGCTGGACAGATTTGAAACTCCAAAAATGGAGTTTTTATGAATAAAAATAGTTTATTAAAAATTTTTTTTTGAAAAAATCCCCTCAAATGACAAACCGGTTAAAGTTTCAAAAATTTACATGAAAATATTTTGAAAAAATTTTAATAAATGTTCAACGGAATCGTAATATACTACCTCATATATATATATATATTATTAATTACGAAATTTTTGATGCGGTTTTTTAATTTATTTCAAAGATTGTTATAAGAAAAACTTGAATAACGGAAAAGGAAAGGTATTTCCTCGCCCTTTTTATTTCTTTGCTAATAAACTCATTCGAATATGAAAGAGAAGGGAAGGATGAACGTACGTCATTAAAAGTTGAATTAAGAAGTGTTGGTATTTGAAAAAATAAAAATGGGACACGAATGACTTTTTTTTTTGACAGAAATAAAAATAGTGGGAAAATACTGAGACCCCAATGGTTTAAAATAGTTTTGGCCCAGTCAAGTTTTTCGTAAAATGAATCTTTGAAAAAAGTAAAAAACAGCATCAAAAATCTCATTATTAGGATTCCGTTGAAAAGATTTTTAAATATTCTTATGCAGATTTTTCAAGCTTAATCTGTTTTGTCATCTGAGGCAATTTAAAAAAAAAAAACTTTAAGAAACTATTTTTATTCATAAAAAAATCCATTTTGGGAGGTATTTTCAAATCGTTCCAGCTCACGTAAATCTTGATATTTTTCCGAAACATTTAGGTGGACATCTTAAAATATAATAGATTTTGTAGTCCCATGGCAAAAACCGCAAATTTTTTTGGTGTTGCAATCTAATGTACATGTACACATAGTTGAAATGAATAAAAACTCAAACAGTCAAATAAAATAAAATCTAAAACCCACCAAACAATTTGTGTTGCCGGCAATAAGAAAACGTGTTGCCCTCGGAAACAAATTTATTGCCGGTAATATTGCCTTCGAATCGATTTTCTATTACCGGTCGCTCTAAAACGTCCGCTGAAGGCAACTCGCCTGGGTGAGTCGTTTTCTTATTACCTGATGAGTCCTTTTCTTATCGCTTCAGGCGATATTCGGAATAATTTTATTCTTTTTAATACTTCATTTATTTTCTTGTATACCAAATTGCAACTTACAATCGGAATTAATTCATTTTCTCGCTGTGAGGCTTCCTATTTTTTCAATCTTGTCCTTGGGCATAATTTAGATGCTTTTGGCCAATACTATTGACGCCATATTCATAAGTTTCGGAATTTTTGAGAACTTTTTTATTTAAAATTGACATGAATGAAGTGATGTTGCCGATTTGTCACCACAGCAATAAATCGGTGAGTCGCCAATTTGTTGCCATTGACGATTGTTGCCTATTCCTCATGTTTTGCATGGTGGGAATTGTTATGTGGGTGCTAACTGCGAATGTATATGTATATACATTCATATTCGTATATATACAGTGTCGAAAATATAAATAAGGTAAAGATATTTTAGCACTCTTTGGCTACTTCGCTTTCGTTTATTTAGTGTTTATTATTTTTTATAAAAGTGTATCTAGCAGAAACCATGTAAGTCAAAATTTCACACTTTGTACAAAAATTAGGAAAGTTCGACCAAAATTTTGAAAATTTGATTTTTGAGAAAAGTTCTGAGTATACTGGATTTGTTTGAAACTCGCATCCGCCATTTTAAATTTTAAAATTGAAAACCAGATTTGTAATCATTAACCCCAGTAACCCACTGGTAACGAGTTTCAAGCCCTGACAATGCATTAAACGTTCAGTATCAACGTTTTAATTTTACTAATTTTTTAAGAATTGATATCTACGCCATTTTGAATTTAAAAAAATTGACTTCAGATTCGTAATCAGCGACCCCAAAAA